TTTAGATATCCAAAGAACCATTTAGATTATACATTAATATGAGAAGATGATAAAGGACAGCCGAAACTCTTAACTGCGCATAACGATCCACTCATTAACCCTCACAATAGATTACAATTGCAGGGTTAGCGGGCAAACGTCGATCTAAAGCCAATTCTTAACATACACGTAGCTCTGCAATACATTTCAAAGTATACAAGCAAAGAAGAACCTAGGTCAATAGCTTTTTCAGAGATTTTCAATCAGATTCTTAACGATAATCCTGACAACGCTTCACTTACATTAATACAGAAACTGCTGCTGAGTAGTGTTGCAGAACGAAACATATCAGCTCAAGAAACATGCCACCTTCTGCTAGGTATTCCGTTATACCACTCCAGTCGTACATTTGTTTCCTTAAATGTTAACAATGAATCAGCAAAGTGGGTTCAGGGCTCAAGAAGTGGAGAAAATAGAGAGGAAGGGTGAACTACATAATCGGTTTTACAATGATACTGGAATAGACCTGAAAATTTTGAAGAATTTTCATTATTCAAATTGTACTTAACACATAAATTGGTTAAAGGGAATTGGGTAATATGCAAAACCAAAAATATTGTTCACATATAGCCACGACTAAAGATGGGATCTGTAATTAATATGTTGCAACTTTTAATATTGCAACTTACGTTGCAATTAGTTTTAACCTATATATATTGTAACTTATAATGTTGCAACATATGTTGCAACTAATTTTAGCTTATGTTGCAACATTTTGTAAATTTGAAATTAATTGCTATACCATCTTTAGCCACGACCATCATCTCTTCGTAATGGAGATGAATGGGAAGAGTACTGTCAGGTAAAGGTTATCCTTCACGTAAAGCACAGAAGCATTCAACAATTAAGAGAATCTGACAGTGTGTCTTGGTTATCAATTTATTGTCAATAAGTTGATGTAATCAATAGCGATCCAGTTGACTTACTTGGATCGCCCATCGATAATAAAGAAGAGATTCCGGATGAAGAAAGCCAAGATGAGCTGCTTGAAGACGATAAGGAAGAGGAATTTAAGTATGATTGGATGCGTCTTTCCAAAATGGGATCAAACGTGAATATAGTATGTTTATCTGATCTAGATTCTCGAGACATAGATAGGAATCACGATTGAATTAATGACACTCAACAATGGGTATTCCTCTGATAACATTGCAAAAATGCGCAACTTTGTCAACGAAGCTTTAACTGAAGCCATAGATGATCTAGAAATAGATGATTCCGTTGATTATGAGAATCTAAATGAAAAGCAAAAAATTATTTTCAACAGAATAGAATCATATTATAATAGCATACTCACGTGTAATTCAGTTGAACTATTAGGATAATAATTATAGGTACAGCAGGCACAGGAAAATCGTATATCATCAGGGCAATACAAAAGAGACTAAGTACAATAGAAAGTAGTTGATCTAAAGTACTAGTGAAGGTGATCGTACCTACAGGAGTTGCTTCTTTTAATATTAACGGTTCGACAATACATTCAACACTATCGATACTAATTTTCAATAAAAAAGCTTGGATTTAGACAGCAACAGGCTTAAGCAACTACAAGAAAGATTAAAAGATGTAATTTACCTTATTATTGATGAAAAAAGCATGATATGGAGGAGAATGCTCACTTTAATTGACAAAAGATTAAGAAAAGCCTTTCCTGAAAATAATAACGAACCTTTCGGCGGACGGTCTATCATCTTGTTTGGAGATTTCGGGCAGCTTCCACTAGTGATAGACTTTCCTATGTATGCCAAAGACATTTCGTGCGATACAACTTCCAATGATAGTATAGCATCATACAAAAATTTCTGGGAGGTGTATAAACTCAAAGTGATTCAACATCAATCAGGTGATTCAGAAGAACAAAAAAGTTTTAAAGAGATTCTTTTAAGGTTATAAGACTAAGATTGCAGCCTAGATGATTGGAAAAAACTCAGTATACGCTTTGAAGGGAAATTAAACAAGACAGAATATGACAGATTTTTGGATACCGTATTCATCCTTACTATTTAGGATGACGTAAATAGAGTTAATATAGATATGTTAAGCTTGTTAAACCATCCAGTAGCCAAGATTCTTGCAGTTCATACTGGAGGTCTTGAGGCTAAAAAAGTCGACTCAAATGTTGCAAAGGGACTCAAAACACAGTTGTTACTGGCTAAAGATGCACATGTCATGCTGACGGCTAACATATGGACCGAAGGATGGTTAGTAAATAGGTCAATGGGAACTATACATGATATTATATTCATGGAAACTGAACCAACTTCACTACCAGCAGCAGTTTTCGTAAAATTCGATCTTTACGAAGATCCTAGTATTACAACACCGGAAGGAGACAAAGTTGTTCTGATTATTCCTGAGAAAGTAAATCCAGTAAGGTGTGTTCTCGAACTCAGGTTTCAATATGTCTTGCATAGGTAATAACAGTGCACAAAAGCCAGGGTTTACATTAACAAAGGTCAAAATAGATCTTGGAAGTCGAGAGTTTGCTACCAGTCTTTCATTCATTGCAGTGTCAAGAGTTCATTCACTTAACAATATTTATTTCAAGCAGTTTACTTACGAAAGACTTTAACAGATTCAGAGTTGCACAGGATTACAAGAAAGAAAGGCTGAAGAAGAACGACTAATTTTTATGATAATGAACAACTGAAAAAATTTTTTTTTATTTTTATTGGCGGTTTATTTGTTTATTTGAGTTTAGTATAAAATGTAAATAAATTATAATAAATAATGTGCTATTTTTACTAATTTAGAAATTGTACTAATTGACTCAATTATTAAGCGGGAGAATGCAAACATTTGAGTCAAACAGCGCATAGAATTATATAGTCCTTCACTACGCTCCGGACTAATAATAATAAATAGCAATATTTTTTTTAATAAATAAATAATTTATTTTTTATTTTTTTATAACAAATAAGTCTTTAGAATTCTTATTATAATCTAAATTTTAACATTTAAACAACTAATAAATATTTTTATAACTATTTTGAATTCTAGTTTGTAACTTATTTTTATCAGCTGATTATTTTCTTTATATATATATATTTTTTTGATAAACTTTTTATAAGTTTTCTTTTATTTACTGTAATATAAAAGATAAGTTTTAATTTTAATTTTTTTTTTTATTATATAAATTAAATTAAATATATACATTTAAATCAATTTAATGCTTCAGTTAAAATCTTTACTTCTTTTAAACACCTTTTTTAATTGAAAAAATTATTTTCAATACAATCCCTACTTTGAAATTTATTGATAAAAATCAAGCCAAATTTTCAGGTTTAAGTAATAAATTTAAATAAAACGTTTCATGATATTTTCTGTTTATAAAAAATAATATAGAGCTTGAAAAGTTAAATATAAGAAGCAAGAAATAATTTACTGTATAAAAGGAACCAAAATGATAGATCATTAAAGGTTATATAAAGAGGGTAGGCATTACTCTATACTAGAATAATTCTAATAGCTAATATACTGTATAAGGAATAAATTCGCAGAGAATTTTTTTTTCCTACCAACCAAAAAAATTTTAAAGAGAATTCGTTGATCTAGCTTAAATTTCTTAAAAATTCTGAATATCGAAGAAGAAAAAATAGTCTGATTTTTCTTCAAGAACTAATATTACAATGCTATTAACGAGTTGGTTAATTTTAATAAAACGTGATCTTCGTCATAACTTCTTTTTAACCTTTATTCGAAAGACATTTGGGGCATAATGCTATAAAAACGACGGAAATGACTAAGCCACTTTTAGCATCAAATTCAATTCATTAAATAAATACATTTCACCCTCTTCCCCCCCAAGAAAAGAAAAGAAAAGAAAAGGTAAAAATAAATAAAGCAAAATCAACGTTTTTTTTTTAAAAAAAAAACGTTTCATCAAAATATTACCATTCACCCATACTCAAATATTGTTTTATACCACTTACCACTACATTATACAAGGAAATAAAAAATAGTTTAAAAATAGGGGAAGTAAGATAGATATATATATAAATAAAAGCAATCTACAAAATTATACATTTAAAAATTATATTTAAAAGATTACAGAAGTTAAAAATTTGGCTTTCCAAATAATACACTGCGTAATGAGAAAAAAAATTGATATGCGTAACGTTCCAACCGAAATTTAAATATCCTGGAAAACAAAATCGTCTATACTTTTTTTTTCTTTCCTTTTTTTTTTTTTTGGCTTGATTACAACTTTTACTATTGTGGACCATTTTGCGTATTGCCACCATCGTTATTATTATGAGAATTACGGAACCCCCTATTATAATTATTATTAGCATATCCTCCACGGCCACGACCACGACCTCGCCCGCGCCCTCTAGATCGATCATTGTTGTATCGATCTTCAGTCTTATTAATCTTTAGTGAATTATTTCCAAATACCTTTTATCAATTTCAAATAAAGTGACGGAAAAATAACATTTTTTTTTATTAATTTGCTCAAATTCTAAATAGCACAAATATAGTATATTTTTTAATACCTGGCCACTTAATAGAATAGCCTTTTCTTGTGATGCAGCATCACTAAAGTCTACATATGCAAAGCTACGTTGTCCACCATGTTGTTGATCAAACATCAAGCGAACCCTTTCAATCTATATAATTGATTTAAATTATTTGTGGGTAATTTTAATAACCACGATAAATACTTGAATTAAAATTTAAGAAAGTTTACCTGACAATCGGCCTTTTCGAAAATTGCTCTAAGTTCATCCTCGGTTACAGGCGGTGTCAAGTTACCAACGTAAGTAGAAAATGGGCTTTTAATATTACCGCGACGATTATTATATTGGTTGCGGTTTTGCGGTACAGCTAAATTATTATTATTGTTATTATTATTATTATTATTATTACTACTAGAGCCTTCTTCGCTGTTTGTATTATTGTTAATATGATCCTGATTAGACTCATTTATATCTGATTTTGGCCAATTAGATTCATGTTGCGTTTGATCAGCCCAAGTACCACCACCATCTACGGTTCCATTTATTTGATTATTATTGATGATATTTTCTGAAAGATTAGTATTGGCGGTATCATTATTGCTAATAGTATTACTGGTTATTGTATCTTCCTGGCTACTATTACTTGTATCACTTCCAGCAAGTTTGGATGAATCACGTTCAGAAGTATCATTATTCGTTTCTAAAATTTTTTGTGATGTTGAAACTTCATTTGTAGGAGATGAAGACTCGTTATATTGTTTCCAGCTATTACTATTAAGTTCATTAGGTGACGTGATCTGAGTTGGAGATGATGATCTTTGAGGAACTAAAATTGGAGACGGTCCAGCACTTATGTGTGGTTGAGGAACAAGAGCAGGAGAAGGCTGCCATTGTGATTGTGTTCGTCTAGTTTGGAGGTTCATGGGTGATGGACTGGTAGGTGCACCGATCTGTGTACTTTGGGGCGCGCCTGTAATTGGGTGAGTTGGTGGGGCTCGACGATATGAGAAATTGAAACCTAGTGTAATTTTGTAAAATGATTAATGAATTTATTCATATATTTAAGTTTCTAACACAAAACCTTTCCGATACTTATTTTCTGATTATAAATGATGCAATTAAATAAAATGTATATACCTTGTGCTTTTGTCTCGGCCGAGACTCTGCCATCTTTAATATCCAATAATAGCCAACCAAATGCAGCATCGGGCAGATTAAAGTTCCACATATTTTTAAAGGAAGGCTCCTCTCTTTCTCGATTAATCGATGGAACTTTTTCTACAACAGTGAGTGCGTTATGCAAAAGAACTTTCTGATTTTCACTATAAAATTGATCGATCATGAGATTTCATTCAAAATAAAAATAAAGTTTGATGAATAATTAAATTGCACGAGACGATCTTTCCTTTTGTGAACTTACTCAATATATCCTTCAACTTGACTTTTAACAGACTCCCACATTTCATAGAAACTTTTTCTGGAGGTTTCTAATTTATTACAAAAATTTGCTTGGTCAACTTGTACAGAAAACTCGTTGTATGAAATACCATAACGGAAATGAAGACCAGCGGAAATAGTGAAGTCAGCCTACAAAACAAAATAGAACATAAAAATTAACTTCAAAACACAAATTTATCAACTTAAATTTTAATTTCCAAAACTTACACGTAAAACAACAGATAATTGTGCTAAAAGTCCCTCACGACCAGGACTAGCATGCGTGACGAGAACTCTCGTTTCAGTTGGATCGAAATGCTATTTCACAATGAGTGATAGAATTAAATTTGTTTTATTATTATTTTAAATAAATTTAGAATAAATAAAGTTCATAATTAACTAGAGCATACTTACTTTTTGAGCAGTATCAACCAATTCACCTATCTGTAAAATAGTTGTCCACATAGTTCCATGACCCCCGGCAATGGTTGAAATACCTTTTTATAATAAGTTTATTAAATGAGACATCCAAGATTTATTTAATAAATTTTTGACGATCTTAGACTAACCTTCGCCATTATCAAAGAGTTTATGTTGAACCACGGCACCACCTAATCCAAACAATCTTAAACTTACGCCACCCACATCAATTGAATAAGTGTTGGCTTCATCTAAAATATATAAATTATTGACCTTGTAATGTCCCATCCTAAATTTCTCTAAAACAGTAACATCTTCACATGCACCCCATACTGTATATACAGGAACATCAAGTGTTTTTTCTCCTTTCATGAAAAGTGGAAATTCAGATAATAGAGGAGTAGGTGATTCTTTAATTGTGCGGCGTAGTTCCTCTGGAGATGTAGAATTATGAAGAAGTTTGTTTCTTTGTTGCGTAGAAATAATAGTACTATAAGTAACAAGGTGACGTAAAGTCCTTAAAAAAAAAAAAATTTAAATACTACATCAAAACGTGAACATTATAGTTGCTATGTAGGAAAATCAAAACAAATTAAAGAATTAAGCTTTGAATTACCTATCGCTAATTCGTTCCAGACTATTATTTTCTGTGAAATAAGAAAAATAAAAATATTTTTAATAGTAAATTATTCATCGTATACAACAAATTTTGTAATCAAAAAATTATGTGAAATCGGATATTCAAAATGACAAACCATAAAATCCGAAATCACCCGAATGGATAACAGCCATAGCACCAGTTTGTTTTGCAAGATGATTCAATTGAGAAATGTTGCCTGTTTAGTTTATTTTTAAAAAAAGAATCTGTTAATATAAAAATTTTAAGAACTTGTCGTATTTAATTGTTGATAATCAACGCATAGATTGAGAAAAAAAATTATTCACCTCTTACATCTGCCACACAAATGATTTTACCAGCGTCTGTACTGATTACATTAGCGCTACCTACCGGAAGATTAGCTGTATTAACTGATATGCCTATACTATTTGAAATGTTTCGATGTACGTTGATATGGTTTATTGAGGGTTGTTCTGATACAGATGCACCGTAACCTGGCGGAATCCCTATAGAAAAGCAAAATATTTTCGCGACTATGAATACAAACAGAAGAATCCTATGCGCGTCATTAAAAAATTGATATGATACTTACCATTTGTCTGGTATGCATTTCCTTGAGCAGCATAAGAAGGGTTACCGTTCATGACCCAGTTGTTTACTGAGTTTGAGCTATCTGTTGGCTCATAACTTTGCATTTCCTGAGCTGGCATGTTAGGGGTGTCCCAGTTTTGGACTACTTGACTATTAAAAGCGTACGCTTGCCTCGGAAATCGCTGTGGCTCTGTTGGAGCGTACTCTGTCATTGAGAAAACGTATGATCTTAAAACTCAATAAATACGAGTCCAATTGATATGTTACTAACAAATTTGTTGAGAAACTATAGCAAATCTTGGAAAAGTATTGGAATAGCGGAAAAAGAATAATACACAAGATGAACACAATCGTTGGACCGTTAGTCAAATGTCGCGAAAGTGCTACGAAGAAAATCCAAAAAGTTGCACAGTTTGTAGAGAAAAATATAATCCTGTGATGTCACACAATTCACATAATCACACACTCTCGTATCACGTTTAACTTTTAAATATTGTTTCACAGCCACAAATGAAAATTTTAAAGCCACTATGGCAAAGCCACAAAAAAAAAACAAGAATGTTACAAATCAGGACATTTACGCAGCGGGTATAAAAATTTTATTGTTTAGTATGCTTTATTTTTTTTAAAAAAAAAACTTGAGTCTAAATTTGTAAAAATATATGATCCCAAAGCCATTATTGTAAGTGAGAAACAGAATATTCCAGATACCACGAGGATCTTAAGTAGCATCTATCCACAAGACGACGCGATAAAGTTATAGCGCTTACATTCCAAAATGGTGTCACATTTGCTTTTGGAACATGCTATTATGCATTGAAAGTCGGTAATATCGTTCTTATACCTAAATCACGTAAGTTAAAAATCTAGTGTGAAATCTCCTTTATTATTGCTTTTGAAAAATACTGACTTTCGCTCTTAACCAGTTTTCGATAAGTGAAAATTCACCGAATTGATCATCACAGTACTTAATGTTCTGTTGGTTCGGCAGATTTGATCAAATAACAAATTAATTTTAAACACTTCGTTTTGCAACGAATGTTTCTTAGAGCCAAAGCATTCATAAGGTTCGAAGTTCATGGCCCACCGCCTAAGTTTTTTCTATCGTCTTCTTGGATGGCCTTTCCTGCTGAGAACTTCTTTAAATAGAAATTCTTAGACTCATTTTACTCTGTATATTTTTTTTTGGATTAACCACCGACGAATGGACGTATTTTTCTAACGCTGCTGAAAGTTGTGTTCATTTAACAGTGATAAGAGAAATGATTTCTCAAAATAAAATAGAAATTTTATTAGGAATTATTTACTATATTAGTAAATGAAGACACCAATTCTTCATCCTTGGTACTACGGCGACATAACATCGTGTATTCGTTCCAAAAAGAAAACAAATTTCGCTTCCAGAATGCGGATAATATTTTGCTCAACTGAATCATCAAGATTTGCAGCAAATTTATCAATAAATCAAAATTTCCATTGTTTTGTTTAGGAACGAGTTTCCTGTGGTAAAGGTAAAATTAAAGACTTTTTATAATATACTAATGGATTGCATTTTATAATTAGCTAGATCATTGAACAAAATTCATAATGGGAAAAATTAATAAATTACTTAGCGATAATGTGGTTGCCGTAATTAATATTTTGAAAGAAACTTAATAAAATTTGTAAATATATTTAAACATAATTAAATTCGCTCTCCCGATTCGAAAAAATATCATATATAGATTACATTAATACATCCATATTTTTTCATAACAATGAACATGTATCTTATTGGTGTGTTGGACACTATTTAACCATAAAATGAAATTGACCTGTGCGGTAACATACGCATCTAGCTACATTCGATAACCCAGTTATGACCTTGGGCAAATTAAGTGATTTTTCAAACTCTTTTTGAGAATGTGATGAATTCTCTACATCACAAAAAAAAAATTTATGTAACAAATGGATCATTTGTCCATTGTTTTAATTTTCCTTATCGAGCTAAGGAGAACAATAGAATCCAAAACTTAATTTTTTACAATATCAAAATTGGATAGCTCACGCTGCACAATTGTTAAAATCAACTTCTTGTTTTCTACAAAATCGGGTTCTCCCAAATTCAAATTTTCGTATCGAAACAATCATGAACAGGAAGTATTTACGCCATTATATTATTGTTTCATGGTACGAGATTGTATTAAGGAAAAGCTTCCATTATACAAACAAATGAATATTTATTTAAATCGACGAAAGCGAATATTTATTGTAATTAAGGTAAGAAAAAACTTTTCAACTACTTGGACATATTCAATTGTTCTCATCCGAAATAATTATGTAATTATGTTAAAGTCATATGAGCAACCAATTCCCTTTGATGGGCACATTGCAGGGAAACAAACAACAATCACACCTGCAGTTTCTCAGCCAATCCAATTTTTGAACGATGAAAATTCAGGTTTACAGTTTTGTCTCACAAGAAAGTTGAAAAAAAGTCCCCACCATAAAAGATTACCCCATAATTTTTTATTATTAGCGAACCTTTTTAAGTCAAAATATAATTGAAGTGTGTATTACCCTTAGAGCGAACTTTAACTTTCGTTTGTCTTTAATAAAAAAAATAAACTTCAAAATATTCTGAACTCGTGTCACTGATATTCCCGTCAAAAAAAAAAGAGTGAGAAACAAGCAATTTATATTTATTGAAAAATAAAAATAATAATAAAAATAATAATAATAACAATAACAATAATAATTATAATGATATAATAATAATATTATTATTAATATTAATAAATAAATAAATAATAATAATAATAACGGGCCTATCTGTTGGGATTACTATATGATTGTCAAAGACAATATAGCCGATAACGAATTTACACAGCTGTTTGAAGACTATTCCTCCGTCAGTTTAGCCTCCAACCTGGATAATAATAGTTCTAATCACGCTGCAACCTCAACGGCAGCCCAACAACACCGAACTTCACCTTTTACCATGTCCCCTCTCCTCACCTTAAATCAAAAGGAGAGTGGGAATACGAAAGATTATATTAACGATATTGTTTCCTCGTCCGTATACCCTCCACCCGCTCAGGATCCTCAAAGAGTATTACGTCAAATGATGAATCTCTGTAAACATATTTATTCAAGAGGTTTAATCGAAGGAAGTGGAAGTGACGTGACAATTCAAGCATTTGATAAAAATTATCATTTACATAGGATCATACTTTATCAAAATTCCTATTTTTCCGTTTTGTTGGAAGGTCCATGGAAAGAAAGTGGGCAAAAAGATATAGAACTTCGATTTGATGATGAAAACATCACGCGTGATGCATTTGAAATAGCATTAGGACGTTTATATGGTAGATTAGATGAGATTATCTCGCCTTCCCAAGTATTGAATCTTCTTGCTACTGCATCTTTTCTTGACCTTCAAGATTTATGTGAAATGTGCGTTGAGGTAATATTAAGAGATATTAAGGAAGATACCGTTGTACATTATTTAAATTTTGCGACTTCTCATTTTTATGGTACGCATTCTGAAAAAATTACAGAATCATGTTTCACTTATCTATGCAGGGAGGGATTTGATAATATAAGACTTAGACCTGCATTTTTGAAATTACCTGCTGAATGGCTTAAAAGGGTGATTGAAAGTGATGCTTTTTGGGTACCTAGTGAATATGAAAGATATATATTTGCAAGAGATGTCGTTAGTCAAAGAAGAAAAATCATTGCAGAACAAAAGAGACATACTTTAGTATCATCTTCACTAGTTAATGATACAGATTTATCTTTGGAAGTTTCCCTTCCTACTTCTCCTACTTCTCCTACTTCATCAACAATTCCAAATTCTACCCATAAAGCAAAAAGGTTACAAGATTCAACATTTTCTTATCATACGAGAAGATCTTCATCAATTAGTACATTTAATTCTATATGTTCTTCAAATTCTTATCAAACTGAAAGTGATGAATCAATTTATAAGGCCATATTTACTTATGCAATATATTATGCTCACATGGCCTTTGAAGAATTAACCACAATTTTGTATGATTGTGATGAGACAACGAGTGCTCCATTTGCACCCGATTATATATTAAAAGAAGCTTTGTGGCAACAAATAGATTTACGTAATAAGATTGAAAACGCTGCCGAAAATGATATAACCTTGGGTATATCTTCTTCTGAAGTACCTCCTAGTTCAACTGGGGTTCATTTTGAGATTCCATCAGATGACACTACACACATAGGGGAGGCATTGACCGGTTTGGAGGACATGATCGGGGGTGGAACGAAAGCAATGAAAGATGGTGAAGGTAGAGGGAATGTGGAATATTCATTATTTGCTCCTTTCAGATTCAGTGTCGAATTTGCAGATGTAGCAAAATTAAAAGAGAAGCAAAGAGTTTATTCCGGCACAAAATTCTATGCTGGGTAAGTGAAAGGTTTTTTCGTTAAACCGAGGAATTTGTTTTCTAACTAAATATATATATATATAATTTATATTGGTGAATTGTATAGGTCTAATTGGAATATGTATATTCAGAAAATAAAAACACCACGTAAAGGTATACAACTTGGGGTATATTTACATCGTCATTCAATGCCTGATCCAAATTCATCTGGAAATACTTCTAGTCCCTCAACAATGATGAATGGATCACCCACAAATAAGCCTCGGTCATCCTCACCAGGAACCGAAGAAAGATACGCTACTGCTGCTCGTTCAACTATTCATATGAAAAGTAACAACGAGAAAAGTTTCTCTAAATACGCTGATAAGAGAAAGACGGTTAGGACATGGTTTAAAATTTTCTGTCCTGCTAGGGGTCCTAGTCATGTTTTAACACAATTCCAAAGTAGCCCTGATAATTTTGCATTAATGCAAAGTTGGGTATGTATGTTATTTTTATTCAGCCTTAATTAATTCTTTCATTTAATGAATATTCTTGTATTTTAATTTTACAGGGATGGCGAAGTTCCAGTCTTTGTCAAGATGATTATCTGTTGGATGTTCGTGACTTTGATAATTCATCCACATCAATATCTACTAATTCCTCAACGTTAAAATTTTCTGTTGTGATGGGACATGTATAAAGATGATTAGATTTTATAATATCACATCTTTGTTACCACTAATAAAATATATGGTCTAATCTATTTTGATTTCTTGGCATATATTTATTTTACACTAAAATTTTCAGATGATGATGACATACATATATACATATACATATATATATATTAAATATATACCAGTATATTTATTTTAATTGTATTATAAATTTTCTTTTTCTTATTCCTTTTGTTAGATAACTTCTTTCTTAATATATATATCGATTTTTAATGAAAATTTACTGAGGTTAACCCATCTTTAATACCCGAGCTAATAAATAAGTCAACATTAAATTTCATATTTTCATGTTTATGCGTCTTAACAAAATCAAGTTTTTTTTTTAGGTAACCATCTTAAAAATTATTATGTATAATGAAATTACATTTTATTACAATTTACTCAAAAAATGAATAAAATTACATTGAAAAGGATTTAGCTTAGATGACTTAAACTCAACATCCAATTGTCAAAAATCAAGAATAAATAAATGAATATAAACTTCTAAATTCATTTCTTCTTGAATCCAAATTTAAAGGCTGGTTTTTGAATCTAATTATTATAAAATAGGATGAAAATTAAATAGTATTGAATAATATATATATATACACATTATATTTGAAAATACCTCTGAAGTGTCTCCAGATGTTTTGCCAATTCCAAACGTTAGTTTTGATTTTGACTTAATCTCTGTATTATTAGATAAATTTACAGTATCTGGGGTATCTGATCCAGTATTAATATTATTTGGTTGATTTATTGTTGAAGATATTACTGTTGAAGACCAGCCACTGTATTTAAATGCTGATGGCGAATTCCATCCACTTGTGTTACTTGTAGTTGTTGCACGTACAAAATTCCAGCCTCCTGGTTGAGTGTTATCGCTGTTTGTTGAAATTGACGGTGAAGAGGATGAGCTTATATCCACCGAAGTCCAACCTCCACCTCCTCCCTCCGAATTTTTATCACTTGTAGATGAGGCTACCAAACTACCACTTAAATTCGCTTTGGATGTACTATTGTTAGTAGGCGATTTACTTGATGATTTACTAGCTGAACTATTATTAAGAATATCGTTAGTAGTAGATTGTTTGCTACCCGCTCTTAGAAGTGCAGCTTGTTGCATCCTTGCCAATTCTTTTTCTTCTCTTTTACGTTCCTTTTCGCGTTTTCTATCCAATTTAGCTGTGGGACGATTACTTTCTTTCATTTCCTTGAATCTCTATTTACACAATATTATGATTGTCAACATATTTTGTTGTTCTCAAAAGTAAACTTTTTCAATTAATTTTTTACCTTGCGATGATTATGATCATATGAGCTCAAATGAGTTTCATATTCCGAGATTTTTGTATATTGTTTATCACATAACGCACAATAAAATGCCGCATTAATAGTTTCTAATTCTTTTTTGATCGATTCTTGTTTTTGAACTTTATTCTATAATAAAGTACAAAAGGATGATGAGAAGTGAAAGAAATAAATTAGGCATTTTTTAAATAAATAAGAACTTACTTGTCTTTGAACGCGTTCTTCTTCAGTCTCCTCAGCAATTTTTTCACTATCTAAAGCTTTACGTCTTGCAGTACTAGTAGAATGATAATAATTTTCTTCTTCGAGTTTACCTACACCTAAACTATCTGTTTTAATATCTATTCGAATAGGTTCTTTTCTGCCTATTATTTAAATTAATTATCAATTAGGCATAATAAATTGCTTTAATATTACATTGTTTTTTAAAAAAGAAACAAAAAAATTTCACTAAACCTTGTTGTAAACTTCCAAGTCCTTGACCAACTTTCCAACCCATTTTCAATAATAATTTATATCCTATATTACTTTCAGGTAAATGTTCATCCATACTAGCAATTTCCGTATTTGATAAATCTAGATATGATTGAGGAACATGGCCACGAGGAAGTGAAAAGGATATATCATCAAATAAATCTTCGTTGTCGTCTTCAATAGTTTCTGTTTGATTTTCATTATTCTGTTTGGTTTAAATTCACAAGATAAAAAAAAAGATATTTTGGTAGATGGGGAAAGTGTAAAGAAAAAAGAGAGGCTAATGGTAATATTGTGATACTTTTTTCGTGAACAAATTGTAAACACGAGAAAAAAAAAACCATAAACAAATTTTTTAACGAATTTTAAATGACTAATAACCCTATTTTTAAAACTTATAAAGTACCGACCTTATTACTACATACTTCTTTAGGTTCTGTTTGATTTCCGGGTTCAAACATTGCAATAAAAGTTCCCGATTTCAAAATTTTATTTCTCGGAAAGGTACGAATTTAGATATAAAACTAATTTCGGAAAATTAAATTTATCTCAGATTACATCGGTGTTTTTTAAGGTTTTTTTTTTATCTTCGGATCTACTTATGATTTAAACTATTGACAAAATTATTTCAAACATATTATTATTAACTTCAATAAATATTTTGTTTATTTGGCAAATAAGTCAATAATATCTTAAAGCTAATTTACAATATTACTTATAATTATATTATAAATTTTATATAATATAGTTAATCAATTATTAGGATAACATAAAAAAATTATTATTAAAAATTATTATTTATTATTTGTATTTTTAAATATATCTAAGAAAATGGAATTTTTTGACTAAATTTAATTCTTATTACATTTTAATCTAATATTATCATAAATTAAAATACAATAAAAAATCTAATTTTATTAAAAAATTCTCAGAAATCCATTTTCTAGTAAACCTCCTATATAGTTAATTTATAATACTTAAAATAATATTGTTTTAAATACATATAAAACTTTAAAGATTTTTCTTTTATATATAAATTAATCTAAACTATTTATGAAGTTTATAGTTTTACTTATCTAATTATAAAACAATCTGTTCATTTATTTTTAGTATTCTGTGTCTTTTTGTAATTATATTGTATTTTATGTGTATTCAAAACTTTATGAATTTTTTATAACCAAGTAATCATATAAATTTTATATTATTCTACATACTAAATAACTTTTCTATATAGCTTATCTATATTAGTACCTAAAGATAAAAGTTGTAATTAATAAATTGCAACTTTTAATATTGCAATATATGTTACAATTAGTTTTAACCTATATATGAAACGTTTTCAGTAAGATCAAGTCATGAGGCATAGTAAATCATATGATCCATAATGTGATTTTACTGGAAACACTTCCATATGTTATAACTTATACTATTGCAATATATATTGCAACTTATGTTACAATAAGTTGTAAATTTGAAATTAATTACTGTATCATCTTTATTGGTATCTACACTTTACTTTTCATTACAAAAATCTGTATTAGATGATGCAGTAAATTTGCAATGCATTTCAGTTAATTTTAACTAATATTATAATATAATTCTTTGAAGTGTAATAATTTTTTATTCAATAATTAATTTATACAAATATTAAGTTTATTTTAAAAAGCTACTTAAAAATTTTTCAATAATATTAAAACTAATAAATTAAATGATTAGATAGTGAATTATTTCATCATAAAATTCTAATAAAATTATAGATTATATATGTATGTTAGTTAGCCAAAGTTAATAAATTACACAAATTTTATTATGTCTTTAAATTTTAGATATATGTTTATTACTTTTTTATTATTTTAAGCATTCCAAAAATTTATCATAGTAAATTAGAAAATTAGAATAGAAATTAAGACAGATTTTGATATAGAAGAAAAGCTCTTTCTTTAATTTAACTTGTTCTTATATATTATATTCTAGTTATTCCAGTAAAAATATAATTCATCTATTATATATATTGTCATCGGGAATAATTCTTCTTCTATCATATGTGTTTCGCTAAATTACTTTACTGCAGCAAGTAAATTCCTTATTATCAGACTTTACAACCTTAGGGAATCTCACATTCTACAGGTATCTGGAATGCCTTAGAATTATTTCACTTGACTTTATGAACTTAAAGATTTAAAAACTTAGGGAAAAACTTAAAAAATTTGTTTATTCTAAGTAATGAACTCAAAGCAAGTTAGTGTAGTAATTCATGATCAAATTCTAGAAGATGAACACGTAAAAGAGAAAAGTAATTATTTTTCAAAATTAATTTCTTTATTTATTACTTAAACTTGTAATAAAACTGAAACTCACAATAGAGTTTTAAACTTGCAAATGAGTTAATTTACAACTTGAGCAAAAAGTTATTCTATTTATTAAATTTGCTATAGCTAAGTTGCTACGCTATAAACTAATTAAATTTGTAGTTACAAATGCTAATATAATAATAATAATAATAAAGATAATAATTATAATAATAATAATAAAAATAATTAAAATAATGAAAATAAGCGTTATAATAATTATTCAACTTATAAGGCTTATCAGGTAAATCCTAAAAATCAGAATTATGCAGATCTTCTAATTTGTGATCAATATAAAATTAATTCCAGTAACTTCTGTAGATCATTTAATAATTCTTTATAGATCATCTTTTCAATAGTGAATTTTTAGCTGGTAACAACGGATTAATCTAATTGTTACTTATAATCTACATACTACTTCATGTCTGCTATTATAACCAAGTTCATTACAGATAATAAGCTCACTAAAAAGATAAGTTTTAAAGAGCTTAGCCAATATAGTCCTCAGTAAAAAAAAATGGCAAAAATGAATTTTTATGATATATACTAACTTTATTTTTATTGTAATTTTTTTTTATTTATTTACAAGACAATTACTAACAGCTACTTTTTTATTATTTAATTAATATTTGATGTATTCTCCTTCTACATTGATACATATTTTAACCCAGTTTGGCATGCTCTCATTACATCAAAATAATACAGTATTATCAAGATCATCTCATTCCTGCCAGATTGTATTAAGGAATACATCGCAGGTAATATTTTTTTTTACTACTAAATATTTGACCTTTTTTCTACTTTTCTCTTTAATACAGCCCATACATTTTCAATAGGGTTCAAGTCTGGGCTGTAAGAAGGCCAAGAAAGAACTCATCCTAGAAGATATTTTTTCAAATTACGCTAAACATCTCGTGAGGTATGTTTTAGATTATTATCTTATTAGAAGACCCAGCTATGACCACATATCATACTCACGTTATTATACAAATAGTCATCCAAGATTTTTCGATACAAATAATGATCCAAATTTTCAGTAAACAAATGAATGCCAATTTTCCTTAAGCATAAATCACTACTCAAATATGAATCTTGAATGGATGCTTTACCATAAAAGCAATTGGTTGCGTATTATAAGACTATACATTCATAGTGTTTCTAAATATTTAGAGTGTTGTTTTATCAGAAAAAACAACTTTCTTCTAGTTATAGTGCAGATGATTATGTACTCAAGACAAGCGAATATCCTTCACTTTCTGGATTAAAAAAGGAACTTTCCTTAGAAGAACAGAAACATATCCAAGGTTTTAGAGTTTACAACATTTTATATGTTCATTGATCTTGAGGTCTAAATTATTTTCTTCCAATTTAACCTTCATTTTACTTACTGTAGTGAAATAATTGTGCTTTAAAATTTTTCTGATATAGCAGCATTATTTTAAACTAATTTTCTTGAGCAGCCCGAAGAGTGACCAATGGAAAGATTGCTAGTTTTGCGTAATAAACTGATATATTGTTCATATATGTGCAAAGGAATACATAAGCAGTTAAAATTTCCTTTGCATTACGCACATTTTGGTCCTAGAGGGACTTAACAAAGTTTCATTGTATTTTAAAGAAACTCAGCATTTTTTCAAGGATAAAAAATAATAATAATAATAACAAACCTTTGTTTATTTGATTTACCTTTTAAATTAGGATTCTAATGTCTGATTTGGGTATATAAATAATAGCCTAAATCAGAAACATGATTCAGCTGTACCTAAAAATAGGCATAGTATTAAAACTGCTATTCTTTTCGCTAAGAATTGTATATGTCAGAAATACTTGAGCTCTTGATAACTGGTATGTTACTGATAGATAAAGAAAAAGCTGCAAGACTTGTAATAATTTTCAAAAAGGATATAAGTTTAGCAAAGAGTAGGCATTTGCATTAAAGATGAAAGACAAAATCCAAAAAAGCAATTAATAAACAGCTGAAATAATATCATAGTGAAGGGTATAACGAAATCCTGAAACCTGAAATTAACCGAAACTATATTAAAAATATAGTAAGGGGTATAACAAAATTATTTTGAGGAAGTTTAAGTGAGCATCTTTAATTTGCATTAATTCTTTACAAGAGAATTAGATAAAGTAAAAGTCAAGTAATTCTCAAAAATGGAAATCAGCTAGAAAAGTAAATATATGTCAAGTATCTGATAGTTCTTATTCTAAAGAGACTATTAAAGAAACAACTTACTGTATTATCTAAGATAATCTTAGTAAAAGAGATATAAAAGTGATATTTAGAACCTTAGTTAAAACAGCTTCTGATTCTGTTATCATTTAATTATACTTCTTTAAACTTCAGAGAGAATTGTGAATCCTTAATGCTTCAGAAAAATAATCTCTGCTACTAAGATTTCAAAGATAATCAGAGTATCTAATAAAATCTAATAGGAGTGTAATGAGTGATGCAAAAATAAAGAACTCCATTTTCTAGATCATTTCTCATTAGAATTTGTTAAGAAAAAGCTAGATTTGTAAGATGTGTCAAATACACCTAATAAATATACCCTAGCTGATATAATGATCATACTCTGTATTTGCCTTACTGAAATTAAAAACTTATGAATATCTAATGAAGGTGTAACTGGATATGCAAAAAATCAAGGTTAACAGAATATTCCTTAGGTGTTTAGATCACTAAAAAAAATAAGGAGTAATTAAGAGAATTGATTACATAAATTTGGGAAGCAATTTTTTCTGGGAAGTTAAGGGATCCAGAAAGCCTGGATCTATATACTTAAATGTATTTCTGAAAAAAATGAATTTATTTCTAAACCTTATAAATCACTTTTTTTTAACTATTTACGTAACTTAGAATCAGTATAGCATATAATGCGAAGAATTTATCAGAGGCTAATACTATTGCTAGTCAAATATTAAGGCATTCACCAGATAACCATGTTTTTTCATCTAATAGATATACTATAATTAATTGGAAAAGGAGAGGATAACCTTATGATTAAGTAAAGCCATTCATGCTTTTTAATAAAAATTAATTACATAGATGAATAATGCTTTAGTATCAGGTTAAAGGTCCCTTCAGGACTAGGATATCATTAATTAAATTTTTCGTTCAAAGCAAAATATAAAAGCATATAGAATATATTGTGAAAATAGTAACTAATTAAAAGCATTCATCTGATAGTATAACTAGCAAACAGGAAATTATCAGATACACAGAGAGATATTTAACTAAATAAGCAAAATGCAAAAATATATAATTCATTTTTTGGTAAAAATAGGATATTAGTAAAAAGGCTAGGTAATTATTCTTTCAAGTATAACTAATAACTTAAAGAAGTTAATAAAAAGATTAGAAAGAGATATAAAGTCCCTAAAGACTAAATTAGAAGATTTGGATAAATGTATAGATAAGGATATTATAATTAACTTGATAAATAAAATAGTTTCCTTACTAATTAGTAAAAAATATGAGGATTATACCTATTTATCTGAGATATCTAAAGAATCTGATTGTGTTAAAACACTGGTAAAAGTAAAAAAAGCTGTTCCTTATAAGCAATGAAAGAAGGTATAACCAAGAAAAATTAAGTGGTTAGTAGTTTAAAGTGATGAATTATCTGTAAGAGCTTTGCATATTTTTGATTGAAAGATATTCTAATTATATAAAATTATATAGCTAATTTATTTGATCAGCTTATGTCTAAACTATTATCATTTATTTTAAAGTATCTTTTAGCATAGGATTTAAAAAATTGTCACAGTATAAATGATATATGAGAAAGTGAGACAAATTTTGAATTGTTTAAAAAAATAGAATTTTATTTGGGATGATAATTCAAGGTAATTATATAGCAAAAGAATTTTATTCGAAACTGAAAGAGTGTAATATAAGCAAGGAATATCTTGAAAAAAATTCTAAATAACTATTCCTCAAAGGATTATCACCCGAGAATAGTATTCTGCACAGATCGAATTGGATCAGATTTGGGTAAAATCTGATTCAATCTGAATCTGAAAAATCTGAATTTAATTTAATCTAAATTAGACAAATCCAAATCCGATTCGATCTGAATCTAACAAATCTGAATCTGAATCTGTATCCAAATTCAACAAATTTAAATCTGACAAATTTGAATCCATATCCATATCTGACGTATCAAAAAAATTTTTTAACAAAAATCTGCCTTCGCCGTTTGAAACAGCGTTTTAATATTAAAAAATAACAAAATTGTTGTTTTTTTAACAAAAATCCATCTCTGACATTTGGAACAGCGTTTTAATAGGATTGGGAAAACTATACTGTATGTTCCTGCTATAGTAATATTCGAAAGGTACTATAAATTTTAAAAATGTGATTGGCCTATCATAGATTTGACTTAATAAAATTTTATATAGTCCTCGGCTTTATCAGATTCGCAATAAAATTGGTTACTGCTTATAGATAAGATTTGCATATATAAGTTATAAAAAAGGTCATTGCTTATAGGTTGATTCACATAATTATAACTTTTTTCAATTGTCATATGACTTGAATATTTAAAAAAATTTTTTGATAACTGATAATCTTTTTTTCAAAAATGTCACTTTCTTATGATTCATGTCAAAGTCATTTTACTTCATATTCTAATTTTCAAGAATTTATAGATACTAAAAATTTTTTTGTAAATGTGGTAAAATTATTGCTCTTGGTAATATTTATCAAGTTTCCAATTTTCAAAGACATTCTCAAAGTAACAATTGTACATATTATACAAATAAATAATCAGCCAAGTATAAATGTTTTTTTTTCAAAAAATAAACCAGGAGGAATGATGATAATGATGAAAAAAATGGTCATAATTAAGAGAATAGAAAACAATATACTTTTATATGTCAAGGTCTCAGTGATTTAGAACGTATTAATTATATTATTAATAGTTCTGCTAGTTTTAGTAGTGATAAAAAGCCTGAAATAGTAGTAAAACAACTTTTTCCAGAAAAATTTCCAGAAAATACTTCTTTTACTAGAAAAAAACTTAGTAAAAAAGAGCGAGAAGAATTTAAAAGGACATTAGAATCTGAAGCAACTTAGCGTTTAGATCAAGAAGTTTTAGCAATATATCATATGCAATGTGAAAAAAGAACAAATAATAAAAGCACTATATGTAATAAGTGTGAAGGATTGAAATCTAATAAACATTTATGAAGCACTTAAAACTATGAGTTTTAATGCATTTAATATTATTTATAAATATTTTTTAAAAAATTTTAAAAACTTAAATATCTATTATTTAAGAAATGGGTAACAAGTAATACTGTCAAATTTACCCCATCATTATTATAATGAACTATTATTAAAACTTCTTAAAAATCCAAATTTACGGCAAATTTAAGCTTCTATAAGCAATATAAATAATGATGCTGAATTTTGAACAAAATTAGCTCAATTTGGTTTAAGTGGAGCATTTGATAGAGATGGTACTTTTGTTGAACTTGTAGCTCTAATGATTCAAATCAAAGAAAAAAAATTACAGGGCAAAGGTTTAACAGGACTTCGATACTCTGAACATTTAATACATTTTTTTAGCTTATTATCTGAAAGTAGTTGTGAATATGAAATTTTTAGAAAAGCTTTTGCTGGACTTTCAGTTCAAAGAATTCGGTAAATGTTGTTTATTTATTTAAATATTTTACATAATGATAATGTATAAATAGTAATTAATCTTTTTAAAATAGACAAATTCGTAAAACAGATTCTATTATAATTACTAATTCTGATTTAGTAATTGAAAACTTTATGAAATTTTCACAAATTGTATCAAGTATTAATTGGAATGAACCAATTATAGTTATGACAGATTCTACTAAATTATGACAAAAACTTGTATATGCTGAAGAACTTAACTATATTGCTGGATCAATTTTACCATGTTCAGAAACAACTATTAATATACTTGAAGATGTACATCCTAAAATTAATTATATTTTAGAAAAAAATGCAATTGCTACACAAGTCCATAGTATAGCATTAAAGGTTAGTAATTATTAAAATTTATATATTATTTTATAAAGCTTAACTAATTATAATTTTTTTTTATTTAGGTTCCTATTGGAAAAGTTCCACCAATGATGATAGTGATGATTCTTACCAAAGGTAATGAAAGAGCTGAACAAATTGCATATTTAATATGTTAAGTAATTGAAATGACACATATAGCAAATTTGAATGTTTTGAGTTTTAGAGCTAATGGTGTTAAATCTGAATTTAATGCACAATTAATTATTACAAATGAAGCATTAAATTTTCTTGAATATAAAAATTCTTTTTATAAAATTCACTTTAAGGCTCCGATATATAATGGAAAACCATTTATTCGAGTTCAAGATGTACAGCATGCTAAAAAAATAGCCAGAAATCAAATATTTTCTGGAGCAAATTTTTATCACTTGAAATTGATACTGCACGTTATGATCAACTTTTTGAATTAGCACATCAATCACAACATTTTCTTTTAAAACGTGATGTACTTAATGTTGATAAACAAGATGATAGTGCAGCATTTCGTATTTTTCATTCAAATAATCTAATGCAAATTCCTATTAATGATACTTTAACTGATGAAACAATTGGTCTTTTTATATATTTATTTGTATTAGGTAATAACAACGTTTATATTAATTTTAATTTAATTTTAAATAATTAATTTGTATATATATTTTTATTTTAGGAGAATTATGTGATACTTATTTAAATAGGGCAATTAATCATAAAACGCATATTGAAATGGTATTATGTGCTTATTTCTTTTTAAATATATAGAAAAATTATATTAAACGCTGTAGTATTCAGTATTTAACAAAATGGTATAATTTATAGAAAAGTTTTATTTCAATACAAAGTTATGATATTTTTATTAGTATGGTAGAATCTTTGATAATACTTATAATAGTATACGGTGAATATTATTCACAATTTCCTTTATTACTATGGGAATACAAAACTGAGGCATTAGAGCATATGTTTGGAATTTCACGAAAAATACTTCCTGATTTTAATTTTTATGAGTTTTTTAAAATATAACAAAGAGTTTCCTATCATAATAAAATTTCACGAACGGGAATAATTGATACTACTAGAGAACGAAATTCTACAGCAGGCAATTTATAATTTTTTTATTCTAATGATATTAAATAAATAATAATCAAGTATATTTTCAGGTTACGTTTTTGATATAAATAGTATATTACTTTCACATGAAATAATTGAAAAGCTTCACATATGGCCTACTACTGATGATATACAGGATTGTACTAGAATTGCATTTTATGAAGCCACATCATTAGCAAAATATATTATATAGACAATTATGAAGAATTTTCAATTCCTGTACATATAGAAAGGATGATAGATATTGAAGATAAAGATAAAGAGGTTGGAGATAACAAACCAAATGGTAAATAAATTTGTTAATATTGTATATATTATAATTAATTTTAGATTTATTAGTAAAATTCAAAATTATTATACAGAATCAATAAATCCTCCTAATAATGAAACTAGCAGCTTAAGTCGTTCAATTTCAGTTGGTTACGCAACTCTAGAAATAGCACGTATATTATCAGACTCACAAAATAAAAATGATCAATTACATGAAGAGAAAATTTTAAATGAAGATGAAGATGATGTAATGCAACAATTACCATCAATTGGAAAGTTTTCTGATATCCAATATATCATTCAGAATTCATCTGTTTCTGTATCTTTTCACCTATTTTAACCGCTTTTTACAGATAATACTTTAAATATACCAACTCTTCTACAAATTTGCCAATGTTATGATGCATTTTCATGCAATTCAAGGTCCAACTTACACCAAATTACAATAGATATAAATAATAATGATAGAATCAATAGAAATATTGTTAATAAACTTATTAATGAAGCAACAGCAGATAATATTGATGAAAATCAAAGGAGAAGGCGTAGAAATCAATGGGAAGGAAGAAAAAGATTAGAAACATTATCTAACAATACTTTAGGTAAAATTTTTTACTTTACATTATGAAAATATATTATTTAATAATAATTATTATTATTTAATTTTTTTAGTAATGAATCTTGGTTTGACAAATATCTCTGATATTTGTTCTTTATGTAAAAACAGATTTTTAATAGTCTACTTTAATAGAATTTTATGTTTAGGAAAAGTTATTGCGATATATGAAAAATGTGGATAACAACATGCATGAGTTGAAAATCCAGTAGGTTTTTTAGATAATTTATCTTATATTTTTATTGAAATTTATATGCAAGTATCACGCTGCTTTTTTCATATGAAAATTCATTAGGAGGAAATATTACAATTTATATTACTTCATGTGAAGTAGTTTATTATTTGGGTTTATGTTCATTTACTAAAGTAAATGATAATTATGGTAGTTTAATTTTAATAGATAACGAGACTATGTTGATTTATATTTTTTTAATGCTCCATTTGTACGTTAAAAATTTTTGATTAATAAATAAAATGTTCGACTAAACAATAATTCACATTATTATTAATTTTTTAAAGTATTCGTAAATTTGATTCGCTTAATTATAAAAAAACCCAATTTGCAGAAATAAGATCAGATGACTCCTGTGGCGAGAACATACAGTATAGTTTTCCTGATCCTCAAAAAATAGAAGCAGTCATTACCTTTCAGAACAGGCTTTGTGTCTGACTGTATTTTTCCATGCAACTTCACAAAAATTTATTATATTTTATATCTAGAAATATGAAAAAAAATATCTTTATTGTATGAATTTTACATAATAAAAATAATCTGTTTAAAAAAAATCTTGGCTATTGTTTTAGCAGGACCCAATTGAAATTTTAGTCATATAATTTCTTTTACAATCAGAATTATATCCAAAATGAGTTTTATTTTTCAAGTTTTACAATAAATATTTGCTTTGCAATCTCTAACATATGCATGAAAAAATACAAAAATTGCTAAACTGTTAAAAATGCTATTCTATATTAACATAAAAAAATCTTATTCCTATTGTTTGTTTGGCCTTTCACCATAATTGATGGTAACATTAATTATATTTGCATTTTGCGAAAAAGAAGGGATAGTTAAAATCACAGGTCTGGAGATAGAAGGTGTTTCAATAGTTGATAGTATTAGCAGTATTAATAATACAGGATTTTTAACGGTTTTAGATAATGATGCTTGCGGTCTTAATGGTACAGGAAATGATGATGAGGTAGCTTTCCTAATGCTCTCATTATGTGTTCATTCAAATAAAAGATCTAGCAAAATTAAAATATATTGATATTAATAAAGTTCACTAGTAACTGAGAAGTATCAAATTTTCAAAAGTATAGTTATCAGACTTCAACCAAAATTCACTAGAGAACTCCTTATAGATTTTCTCTTCTATTAATTTTCTTTTTTCCCACCCTTTCTATATTTTACAGCTGTCTAATAAAATAATGATAATAAGAATATTATCAGTCAAATTCTTCGTAGAGCTAAGCAAGAGTTACTTACTTTATAGCCTTCTTAAGATTATTAAATTTCCTTTGACAGTTCTCACTAGTGTAATAATTTGTATTCTCTTGCTCGTTTAGCTTTCTAGCAACATCTTCTCAATAGAGACATTTCTTTTTATTTAGAGTGGAATGCAATTCAGAATTTTTTTCTTTCTTTTATTTATAAGAAAGTGAAGCTGAACACTATTCTATCTGTTACAAGATATTTTTATATGGTAAAAAATCAGTATGAAAGGTGTGATTGTTTTATAGGAAAAAATCGAGTGATATATTAGAGATATTTAGATGATTAATCAAATAATAATGGTAGTTAGGTGTTACACAGAATCTGATTAGCTGATTATCTTATGATTTTGACAATCATGATTTGAGAAACATCTCAGTGCTATGATAGTTCCTAGAGAATGTCAAAGAATTGGCAAGAAGCTAGAGTGATTTCTGTGATATTATATACGTCATGGATCTGAGAATAATTTAGCTATTATATTATCTCAGAACTAATTTAAATGAATTATGACATATTAGTAAAACCCCAGTGATCTACAAACTGATTTACATGCATGTGAATATGTACAGTACCTTAGGCTAAATCCTGATATGCTTGTAATCGAATAAAAAATGAATCTGATATTTTATTATAAATACTTGTTACAAACTGCTATAAGTCTTTAAACTGCTATAAATCATAAATTGCTATAAACTCTTTATACCCGTAAAATAGTTAGAACTAAAGATGAATACCATAATTAAGAAGTTGCAACTTGGTTGCAACTCCTTATAAATTTATTTTAATATAAAAATTCAT